CCTGCCTGGCACTGACTTCCAACACTGTCAGCTTCATGCTTGAGGAATTCGACACAATCTAGAAGGTTTTTCGGGAGTCACTGCCACACCGTGGTGCTGTGTTTTGAGGTCCTGTGGCCAAGGCCGACCACTGACCCAGTTCTGCCCGCAGTGGGCACCTCTCAGCCCGGCCCTCACCCTCCACCACCTGGGCAGGGTGGATCAGAAGAGCCTCTAGCCAGGCTGAATTCCGATTCCCTCCCTGCCCCACCTTGGAACTCACAGCCACTTCCACCCCACCCTCCACCCCTGACCAGTGCCCGCCTTATCAGGGTTTTCAGATAAGGGCCTAGGATACAGCTCAGGCAGAAGAGAAGAGCTCAGTGGCTGTGCTACAAGGGTAGGTGGTGGGTGTTCAGAACTGGGGATCTGTGGAGTCCAGCCTAGGGGACTTTCCAGTCCTGCCGATAGACCTGAGTAGATGCCACAGTCTCAATGGCCAGCGACAAGTGACAGACTACACGGCGTGGTGGGACTGACGCCTGGCCTGCTTCCTGCTTCTGCACAGCCCACTGGGTGGCCTTGGGTTTACTGGGCCTCCCTGAGCGCTGGGTCTTCTTCCACCACAGGGAGTAGAGGTAGACGGCCCCCACGGCCAGGCCAGGGCTGAGTGATACCAGACCTCGGCACATTTGTTTCAGCTTCCAGCTCCCACCCGTCACTGCACCGCTCTGTCCTCTGTTTATTGTGTTGCATTTGCTCCTCCTCTTGCCCTGGATCTGTGAGTTTTGTCTTCCCAACTCCTGCCTCAAAGAAATCTCTCTGATTTCTTTTTCATAATAACCCCGCATGGTAGACGAATGCCAGGTTCCAGTTGGAGCAGAGACAGAGAGGCAGAAGAATGGGGCTCCGCAGCGGGTGAGGCGAATGGGAAATTGTCCTTAGAGCGCATCCTGGTGGAGGTGTTCTTATCCCCGATGCAGTCCTGTTCTGGCCTTTGTTTCTGCTGGGCGTCCTAGGTGTTGTCCACATGTACAGATCTGAGGGACACGATTACCCAGGGTCACAGAACCGATACCTGGCTGCTCAGGGCCATCTGGAAGAAATGTGAATTGTAGACGGGTGTGGTGGCGCATGCTTGGAACCTCAGCATTCTCAGGGACTATGGCAGGAGGATGGAAAATTCAAGCCCAGCCGGGGCAACTGAACAACTTAGCAATACCTCGTCTCTAAAAACTAAGGGCTGGGGTTGTAGCTCAGTGCAGAGGCCCTAGGTTCAATGCCAAGTACAAAAAAAGAAGGAGGAAGAGAGAAAGAGAGGGAGGGAGGGAGAGAGAGAGAGGGAGAGATCATGTCCTCCGTGGTCTGTTGGAGAAGTGCCCATCCCAGGTCTCCCAGCTTCTTTCTCTCCCCCCAGCAATGTGGGCTGAAAGCAAGGTCCATGTCTAATCAAAGAGGAAAAGTCTAGAAATATTATGTAATGAGTGTGAAGGAGCCAGTACGATTGCAGGGCATATGGAGGGAGGTCCCAGTGGAGGCTGGCAACCCTAACTTACCATGCAGTTCACCGTGGATTAGGAGTGGGGAGAAAGAAACCATTGTAGAATAAAAGTATAATGTATGCTGCACTGTGACTCTGGCCCTATGTGGGGATCCCTCTCTCTCTCTCTCTCTCAATTTCACCCTTATGAAAGCAAAAGCCTTCTATTTTATTTTATTCTCTTTTATTCTGGAAAGAAAATCCTTGGCGGCATTTTAATGGGTCGTGACCCACCATTTGAAAAACGCTGCCTTCGCTTCCTGTGCCGGTCCTGACCCCTGCTGTTGGGCAGGGGTGATGGCATAGCTTGGCCATGTCCCTGACCTAACCATGACCTGGGCACGTGTCCCCCACATGTGGACTGCAGGTGCAAAGGGCACACTGTCCCAGCTAGACAGGAGCCCCTGGTTTGCTTTCCATTCATCAGGGCACCAGCTTCCTCCCCCGCCCCGCCCTAGCCCACGTTCAAGGGTCAAAGTTTGCTTTGTCGGCCTTGCCAGAACGTGACTGGCTCCCACTCTGGCCTCTCTCCACAGCTGGGAAGGAGGCCCTGGGGGCACCCCAGATTCACTCATTGCACACACACATATACTCACAATCACAGGCGTATTCGAACACTCGCACATATATACACTTGTACATGCACGTACACTATCACACGTACATACATTCACACAGCCTCACACTCTGTCTCCCACATACTCCCGTTCCTTTCTGACACCACTTCTGCCGTCCCAGCTGGGTGTGCAGCAATTCAGTTTGGCCCCGGCCTGGAGTCACACAGATGCCACAGTTATAGGGAGGGTCCCCCACCAGACTGCCCACACTTAAAGAACACCTGAAAAGCTCACTGAAAGTCTCGATTACAATTACAGTTTCATTATAATGGATTCAGCTCAGGAGCAGCCAAAAGGAAGAGGCACACGGGGCGAGGCCTGGGCAGGTAGGCGCAGAGCCCTGGTACCAACACCCCGAGAAGCCACACATTTCTCTGTTCCCCAACCAGGAAGCAGCCCTGAATGCCCAGCACAGAGCCTTTATTGGGGTTCCGTTTCATAGGTACCGTTGGCTAAACCATCGGCCAATTGAGAGATCCCCATCTCCAGGCCTGCCCCCACCCCAAGGCAGCCTGTCTTCTCAGTGTGGCCTTTCTGTGGCCAGCCCTCCCTTGGAACCACTACCCAGAGTCACCTGTCATCATTGTCCAGAGGGGCCAGACTCACCCAGCCCTCAGGACATGGGGCAGAGGGATGGAGGAGTTCTGTGCCAGGAAGCGAAGCAAAGGCCAGCTGTGCTTTTCATTATACCACACTCCCTCACACTCACCCACACAGCTGCATTCACCCACATGCACTCACGCTCACCTGCACACTCACATACTCACTGCCACACTCACATTGCCCCTTACACTGCTGGAGCAGAGGCAGCTTGAACCCCTGGAAAAGAAGCAGAGCAGCCTCTTCTTGGACACTGAGTCCCAAGTCAGTTTACGTTCAGGTTGGTGCGCAGAGTGAGGGGTGCTGGAGGCCAGGCAGCGCCTCTGCTCGAGCAAGGGCAAGGGCCGTGGGGTGTCTGGAAGTGAACAGCCTCCTGCTGGCCCTGAGCAGCCCCTCCCCCAGCACCCCAGTCTGGCAGCAGCCCTCCCCCCCATGTGGGCGCGCACACACACACACACACACACACACACACACACGCACTTTCCGGCGCTCACACCCTCCCCACCCTGCCCTGCTCGCGACAAGCGGCCACTGTACTCATGTCCCACCACAGTTCAGTGAGAATGGATCCACTGTCCCCGCTCCAAAGGGGACACACTCATGGAGAGCAAGAGCTGAAGCTAGTAGCAAGGCAAGGCAGGAGGTGGCAGCACCGGGTCTTGTCTAAGGACTTGAGTACAAATCTCAGCCTCAGCACTTCCCGCTTGGTGATCTGGAGCATTCCTGCCTCCCTCTGCCTTGATTCTCCCTTTAAAAAAGGGATAATTGTAGCGCCCTGCCCCCGCACTGCAGATTTAATAAGACAAATGAATAGGATCTAATGCACTATTGTTCTGGCACGGGGGAGTCTGTGTCAGCTGGTATGAGTTGACAGCAATGATGTTATGTTTATTAATGATATTGCATTAACATTATAATGATACAGAAGTATAATCAAAGATTAGTCACAAGTGACAATGGCAGCAGAATCGGGAGCCTACTAGGAAGTGCTCTCCCAGAGCCTCCCATGCTCAGGGCCATGTCCTTACCCTGTGCAATCCGAGGCTCTGCGCCCAGCATGCCCTCAGCAACTTGGGCTGCACTCCTGGTCCTGCAGACTGGCCGGGGACTTGAAGACTTAGACTCTGGGGAAAGGGCGAGGGTGGAGGGGAAGCCACATCCAGGAGGCTGAGGAGATTGCTGGAGGTGTTGACAGGGAAGGAGGGACTGAAACGGATGCTGTAAACCAGCAGAGTCTGTGACAGGCATGGAGAGCCCCCTCCTGGTGATTGCTCAGAGAGGGCGCTGCCCTGGGGACTCCCCAGCAAGAAGGCAGGAGAGTGAGGGGTAACTCGCTGGTTCCAGCTCAGAGCCGGGCCAGTGATTGGTTACTGAATAACAGATGTGTCCTCAGGGCTTAGAGGCATGGTTCAATCAGAGTAGAGTGATTCCACTGCAGGAGAAGGTCTCTCTCAGCCTCATGACATAGATCTGCATAGAGCAGCCTTGAAGCACAGGGTCCTGAGCATCAGCGCCAGCATGTAAGGATGAACACCTAGAGATGCTGGCCAGGCCACCTTCCTGAGTGTCTTCTGTAGGCTCAGCCCTTGAACCTGCCCATGAGAGCTGGGTCCCATGAGGATCAGAGAGTACCTCTGTTTCTTCATCTGTAAAATGAGGATGATGGGAAAGCCATACCATGGGGTAGATGAGAAGATGGGACCAGTTAATATATGTGAAGTACCATAACAGTGCCTGTCACAGAGCTCTGTGCCAAGTACTAGCTCTTTCTGTTTTTGCAGGGGAAAAATGCAAGTTAACTGATACTTGTGATTGTTTCCAACAGCCTCCCCCAGACTTGTGTGCTGCACGCGGACTAAAATTCATCCGTATGTTACGGTGTCCATATGACCTCTGTCTGTTAGGGCTTTTCTGGCCACAGGTCACTGGACACCCACATCACACTCAGCTATAGCCCCATGTACACAGCCAGAATCTCAAGGGCCCCTACCCCATGGATTCTGTGTTTACACCAACCTCTGAGAAAAACTAACTTGGTTGATCTGCCCAGTGGACACATGAGAAATCAGGACTCAAGGGGCCTCGGTTTGGACAGGGGCCAGGTGACACATGGCTCTTGTGGCAGAAGCCCCAGTTCTTCTGGGGGTGCTTAACTGGCTCTCCCTTGGCTCAGGAACCTTGCGATGGCTTCCCCTCCACTGTAGACCTTCTAGCCTGCATCCACACCTTTCATTCACTGAGCTCCTCTTTCTCTCTGGTTTCAGTTGTTCCTGGTCCGCCAGGACAGCAGTGTAAAGCGCCTGGTGCTCTGCGTCCACTTCCCTTCCCCGAGCAACGGCTCCTCCGAGGTGTTGGAGTATACCATCAAAGAAGAGAAATCCAGTAAGTGCTCACCCTTCTCACTCTGGCTCTGACCTCAGCAGTAGCAGATGTAGCACCTGCTAACCACAGCCTCTCCTCTCTGTGCCACAACATTTAAAATTAGAAGGGGGAAAGAGCTTGCCGTCTGCTGATGCTACCGGGCCAACCTTGTCTATCTCTCAAAAGTCAATGTTAATTTCCACTCCCCCTCATCACAGCTTGTTGGCTGCACTTCTTCGAGGCCACAGTGAAATTTCCTCTCATTAGCTCACCACAAGGATGCTGGAGGAAAAGGAAGAAATGAGGAGGAAATACTTGGCCCTCTAGGTCCTAGTATCAGCTTGGCCCCCAATCAAACCTTGCTCTGGGACATGTTTCTTAGACTCTCAGAGTCTCACTTTTCTCTTCTGTGAAATGGACATAATAGTCACCACCACACTTGTATTACAGAGTTTTGTGAGAGTCAAATGGGCAGGCACTTTGAAGACAAGTCTTGAGCATGCACAGAGCTGCCAGAAGCAGACCTAGGCCTCAGTGGGCAAATGTTTGGGGCTCCCGATCCAGGGTGGGTTTGTACTGATAGATAACATTTCCACCTAAGCCCCTTCTGGATTGCGGGGCTGAGCCATCTGAACCTGCATCCCCTGTCCTCATGGGCCACATGTGCGTAGGCCAGGCGTTAAATCCCAAAGTGCCTCTGAAGAATCCATGGAATATTCCAAGCACTGGCTCATCTCCCCTTAGAAAGGTACACAGAGTGCTGCATGAAGCTTTTTACCTTTCAGCAGCAGCAGACTGATGGCAGTTAAAGAAGGGCCATGAAGTATTCTCAAGCATTTGCTTCTCAGGGAGCACTTGTGCCAACACTGGGAAGTGCCCAGATGAGTAAAAGAGTTCCTGGCCTTGAGGGTCCAGACTGATTGGAGGGTGAGGACACATCGGGTGGGAGAGACAGGCATGACTTGCTGTGCAGTGTGGTAGGTGTTACTGAAGAGGGGTACGGGGGTGCAGGCCACTGTAGGGAGGATTCAGGGAGGATGTCTAAGAGCAGGGAACATTCCATCTGGGTCCCGAAGGTATTAATCCAGTTGAAGGCTAATTTTTTAGAAAGGGAAAGCAGAAGCAGATTCCCTTTCCTGCTGGAAGATGATCTTTGCACAGAGTCCCAGGCCCACAGCATGAGTAAAATACATCTCACTCATTCATGTATTGGACACATATGGGTGTCCACTTTATGTCAGCCACTTCCACTGTTGGGGGACACAAGTGAAGGGAGGGGACAATATCAAATTACAGTGTAGAGTTACTGTCAGATGAGAGTCAGGCCATGGGGAACATGGAATCACAGAAGATCAGTCAGTTGCTTCAGTAGGAGTAATGGCTTCAACCTGGAGGAAGCCAGTTTCTGCTCACACACAAAAATCTTCATCAGTCAGTGTCCTCAGCTGACAAAGGTTCTCAGCATGCAGCTTCCATTTCCCAGCATGCAGCATCCATTTCCCAGGGTTGGATCCAAACCAATAGGCTGGAAGGGGAAAGAGTATGGAGAAGGCTTGTGGATGGGTCTTACTTTCAAGGCCTAGAAGGGGTGTGTCTCCTGTGCCCCCATATTCCATTGTCTGAAAGTCACATGACCACACCTAACTGCAGGGGAGACTAGGAAATGTAGTCCAACCCTGTGTCCAAGAAAAAATAGCCTGATTTAGTGACCCACAAGGACTCTGCCCACTGAGAAGAGGGAACAGGGAGTGTGAAGTTGGGTAAAAGGTTGTTGATTTATATGGTCAATTTAAACGATCCCTCTGTCTGTGGAGTCTCGGGGGAAAGAAAGGGTGGGGTTCTCAAACACAGAGCGGGGAGCATTAGGGTTTTCTTCTGATGACTGAAGAAAGGGATAGAGTTATTTGGGGCGTCTACTTCTGACTAGGGGAAGTTGTTGTCCCTGGGGCCTCACAGACCCAGGGTATACTTGTGTTCCCCTGAGAGATGACCAGCAGCCCATCTTCTTATGGACAACAAGGGCCAGTGAGTGGAGAGTAACCAGACTCTCCAGGACTTGGCTGCCAGGCATGAGTTACATGCAGTCCTTTAGGAACCCAAGAGCCAACTGAGCCCTTGAATTTCAATATGGCCACTGGGGAGGTGGTTGAGAGTGATGAGTGCTGATGTGCTCTAGGACCCAGAGGAGGGAGTACTGATCAAGGGCAGGCCACTGAAGACTTCCTGGAGGAAATCCAGGGGAATGAAGCTAGACCTGCAGCCTGTCTGTAGTTCTGCTCTATTTCATCTCCCACAATCAGCCCTAGCCCTCAGGGTCTTCCCACCCCCGAGATGTGTTATCTGATTTCTAGGTTTCATTTCCAATTAGGAGCCTTTCGAAAGAAAACCAGAGCTGGACAGCAACTGTGAGGGTAGTAACAGATTTTAGTCACAAACATTGCAACAGGGGAAAAGGGATCTCGGCATAGAACTGGTCAATTTTGAATTCAGTGTGAACAAGCAGAAATTTATAGCCAAAGAACTGGGTGGGGGTCAGTAAATGGAAATAACTCAGAGGAAACTGAGGGTAAGGAGAGATTCTGGCTAAACTGATCTAACAGGATTCTTGCTGATCAGACTTGGGGGGAGGTTGGAGGGCCAGAAACTCTGATCAGATACAGTGATCTGACAGCCAGGGTGGAGGGGGGTTGTCTCTTGCTGAGCTGATGGAACAGTTACTGGCTAAAACCGGATTTTACAAGGATGTGCACAGAGGCGCCTGGGAGAAGGGCCGGGAGCTGATTAGTTTGGTGGAGTAAAGAAGTTTTGTCACACCCAAGGGACAAACCAGGGCATTCAGGGAAGGAAAGAGCTTATTTCCCTCAGGTCTTGTCTTCCTCCTAAGGCCATGTGATAGAAACTCGTTTTCTGTTGTAAAAATTTTAAATGTACAATGCTCAACCTTGCTGAAAAGATAATCAGAATGAAATCAGTGTCCAAACTCTTCCAATCCTAATCCATGCACATTCACCGTGAACACAGAAATGTCCCTTACAAGTTTGCCAGTGTTTTATTTGCTTTCTTTTCTTTCTTTCTTTTTTTTTTTTTTTTTTTTGATACTGGGGATCGAATTCAGTACCTGGCACTTGGGAGGCAGGCAGCAGAACCACTGAGCTAAATCCCTGGCCCTTATTTTGCTTTCTTGCTATATTACTTGGTGCTCCCCAGGCCTCCTTCCCTTGAGGTCCATCACCAGGCAAACCCAAACAATACCCAGAAAGTAGCAGGTGGCTGGTTTCTTTGTCCTGTCAATTCGCAGCTCCCGCCCCTCTGCTCTCTCCTGCTTCATACCATCCATCCTCCTTAGCATCAGGATTGTGGAGGCCACCCAGTCTGTTCCTGACTTTGCCTCTTACGGCCTGTACGGCCATGGGCAAGATCCACTACCTCTCCAGGTCTCAATGTCCTTGTGTATGAGATGGGGACACTGAGGGTACCTCCCTGCAGGGGCACTACGAGGAGGGATTGTGTCCAAAGTGTCCAGGAGTTGAGACCCTGTGGCTCAACTGGTGGTTGCCGGGGTGAGGGGCTGAGGAGGAAGTAAGCAAGGGAAAGGCCCAGGCCTGGAACGGAGCTTGTCTTTGGGTTCCCCATGCAGAGTGGAGGCGAAGGAAGGAGACTGGGGATGTCCCTAAAGCCAGTGGTCAGCCTCTTCCTTGGCCCCAGGCTTTGCTTTGAACAGGAAACACTCGCTTTAACCACCTCTGTGCTTGAGCATCCTGTTTCTTGTGCAGAGTTTCTTTGAAAGGCCTGGAGCCAGTCGGTACCATGAGTATATTTCTCACTCATGTGAGAAATGTCTTTACAATAATATCCCCTGCAATGTGGCTGAGGGGTTGGCTCCCATCTGTCCATGAGGATAGTGCGGTCTGGCCCCCACAGGAAGTGAGCCACCAGCACTCAGGGAGGAGACAGCAGGCAGAATTCCATGATGACTCTGAGTGTCCCGCTCAGAGACAGCAGATGCCTCTCTCCTTCACATCTCTGTGGCTAACACAGGTCACATGGCCAGGCCAGACGCTGATGGATGACAAGTCTAATACTCCTGCACACCTGTGACCACCAGGGGGCTAGCGATTCTTCTGAACAAGTAACGCTTTGGGAGGGGGCTTTGGGGAAGGGGTGCTGATGTGGAGATGGGGGTATAAGATGAAGGGGCAGGACACTGGGTTGTAGAGGCTGGGCTAGCTTCTCCGTGGCAGCCCTGGCCTTTGTGGCTGAAATGCCCAACAGGAGGAAATTACACGTTGAGGATCCCTTACCTGAAATGCTTGGGACCAGAAGTGACTTTTCCTGGATTTTGGAATATTTACATATACATAATAAGATGTTTTGAAGAATGGAACCCAAGTCTAAACATGACCTTCATTTGTGTTTCATATAAGTCTTATACCATAGCCCGAAGGTAATTTTATACAATATTTTCAGTTCACCTGCAATTTGACTCTGACCCATCATGAGGTCAAGTGTGGAATTTTCCATACATTGCATTACTCAAAAAGTTTTAGATTTTGGAACATTTTAGATTTCAGATTTTTAGATTAAAGATGCTCAACCTCTACCTACTTTTTTATTAATGTGCTTTGAAGATTGTGGCAATGATGTTTTCATGGGATAGCATTTTTCTTCTGGGTACTAATAAAAAAGAAAACCAATTGGCTCAGTCTCTGGAAGAAGAATCATGAGACACTGGCAGGCACTGTGGTCTGGCTCCACAGGAAGTGAGCCACTACCCCACTTCCTCCTCCCAGCTGACCCCTAGCTTTAGAAAGGCCTGTCTGAGATCATCTAGACAAAAAATTAACAATGAAATTCTAGAACTGAACCAAGCTATTGAACAAATGGACTTAATAGATATTTACAGAGTGTTCCACCCCACAAAATCAGAATACACATTCTTTTCAGCTGCACACAGGTCATTCTCCAAAATAGACCACA